ACTAGCTATCATGTGTCATGGGACGTTTACAGTTGATAGATCATTACAACACATGTTTTCTTTTGGTTTCTCAGGAGGACTTTCCCATACATGTCTGCATTCCAAGATGTCCCTGTCACCAGCAGACATGAGGTGCAGCTGACTCTGGTGAGTACTCAAATATCGTTTCTGTTTAACTAACTGAGAAATGACTACAATCTTTGTCCAGCTGACTGTCATATTTATTTTTTCACCTTTAGTGGCTCTCATGTAACCGTGATACGACAGCAAAACGCGTTGTGACAGATGACATGATACATCAATCAGCATTCCAGGACACCTGTGGCAGCTGTGATGAGGACTGATGCTTCCATTTATTTTATTTTGAATATTATAGTATAAAATCATGCACAGGAACAAGGAATCCAAAAGACGGATATTTTTGGACCACAGATATCTTAACATGTTTGAAAAGGAGTAGGAAGAAGTAAGAAACTTGAGTTGTTTGCTCAGAGGGTTAAAGTGTCCCACTTTTTTCCTGAAGATCTGCACCCATCTGTTCAATGCTGGAGCAAACACTCAGCAGGTTAAAGGAAGCTGCAGCAGCAACCAGAAAGGTCCCAACATGTGTGAACATTTATATCTTTACAGTGACTGATTTTTTATTTTTATTTTAGCTTGCATCACCAGATTCATCTTCACAACAACCATGCAAATGTGAACTATGCACAAGTTTGAAAAAATTTGTAATTAAGCTCATTTCATTCTGCTAAAATTTCTATAGATTTGCACATTTATATCATTTTTCAGTACACGTGTGTTATTTTTTTTTTCAAATCAGGTTTCCACATACTGGGTTAAAGTATCAGCTAGTTTAAATATGGGTATAGTGGGAATAAGACAGGACTCACAGTGTGTAAACTTGTGACTCCTGACTTTATGCAATGTGTAATGCTTGGTCACCTGTTATTAGTGATCATTGTGATAATAAAAAGGGATAAAAAAAACTTTTTAAATCTTTATGAGAAACAAAAAATAAATTGTGAATTATGCTATTGTACTATTTTAA